TCCTGCTGAGCATGTAGCTGTAGGTGGGCTTCACAGCAATTTGTCTGTGGGTAATAGGATATTTTGTAGCTGAAGAATAAAATTCAGTTTATGGTAATATAAAAGGAAGACCACTCAATACTAGTTGCGTTATGTTTGTGTGAACTGGGGTTCTGCCATTACTGCTATCTAGGATTTAATTTCAGTTTGAACTGAGGAGTTGCATCTGGGTGAGTAAGAGACACAAGATGGGTGCAGTTACAACCACTGTGCATTTGTCACAGAAACAGGAGCTGAGCACCTAATGTGTTAATTTTGCTAGTGCTGATGAAACTCTTTTCTAAATGCAGGTGATGGTGTGGTTTCCTTTTTCTTTTCAGTATGAAAAGATTTATTACTGTTCTCACATTTTCATATGACTTCTGTTGATTTTTTTTTTTTTTTTTTTTTTTAAGTGGTATTAGGCCTCGGTGTAGATCTGTTTTGTTGAGTCTACTGCTGGAGACTGCAGAGTCTCAGCAAATTCCAAGGGTCATGCTTCCTGAAGGCATCCCCTTTATTCTTGGTTTACACCTTTCTGCATTAGCTAGCTAGATTTTTGTGGTTCAATTAGTCTTCAAGTCAGTTTGTTTCAGAGCTTCTGTTAAACTACAGTTACTTAAAAATAGCTTAGGTTTTATATTATCACTGTGAGAACAGAGGACGCTTCACGTCTTTGTGGGAATGGCATTAAGGCAAGTATAAATTCTTATAATTAAGATGTACAGCTAAGTATTCCTTCTTGAGATGCAGGTGCTCAGTGTATCACTTGCTTTCTGTAAGGGAAATTGCAACTATCCAGGACCTCAAAACTCAGACTTGGTTCCTTGTTAGAAATTTAGGTAGCTGTGTCTTGTATCAGAGTCTGCATTAAACTATAAGAACTGAGGTAGTATAAAACCCAAAATTTGATTTAGGGTCTTGTGCCCTTTGTTTTTCATGACAGAACTGAAAGTAAATCAGTGCCATGCTGATAGACTTCTACTGCATATAGAGATGCCTTTTTTCCTGTTCTCCTTTAAAATAAACAATTTCATCTGTGGTAGTAGGACACTTCCATTTAGTTAACTTGCTTCCATCCCTGCTGACTTTCAGATCCCCCAATTGGTCCCCCTGGTCACACAATACGATAACTACAGTGTGTTTTATTGGTTTGTGTTGAGTTTTGTTTGTTTGGGTTTTTTTAATACATCTTTAGGAAAAAGTAACACAACTTTGTGCAGCCTGTTAGCTAACTACTTAATAGCCAGATCCCTGTTTTCCAGCCCTACTAGTCTTTACTTCCTTTTCAGGTGATTTGAGGGGTGAGTCACTATAGTTCCTTGTTACTCCCCAAGCATGGCTAGGGAAGTTACTTGTCTTAGTTCTGCTTTCAGTATTTGGAAAGTTTTCCAATTGTGACATAAGTGATACCCGCTTCTCTCTTAAGTCCTTGGATTGCCTATCCGAAGTCTAAGGACTTTTAAAGAAGAAGTTTCAGTAAGAGAAATGAACTTGGAAATCAGTAGCCAGCCAGGTCACAGTTCAGTGGCAGCAATGCTGCACCATGGGACTTCGGGAGTTTTTCTTTTGTTATGATCTGTTCGAGTTCCTTTCCTGAAGTCTCCTGTTCCATACTGGGCTAGGTGAAGAGCCTAGGCATGCATTTCCAGGGGAGAGGCACAGAACAAATGCCCTCAGAAGGATATTGTCTTCTGATAAAACAACAGAATGCAGATTTTGGTCGTTTAGAGTCAGGAAGGCTTGTCTACTCTGTCCAAAGGAGGCATTAGGAAAAAAAGGAAGAAAGTCTGAATTCAGCATGAGCGTTAAACACGGGGGAGTCAGGAGGTGAAAGAAAATGGAAGAGTTGAAAACTTAATTGACTGCTGATTTTTACTTAATTGATCCTGTGACTCATTAACATGCCCAGTAGACGTGTATTTTAATTAAATACAGCAAACTGGGTTACAGGGGGGGGAAAAAAAGTATCAGCTGGTTGTGAAGCATCTTCTGGCAACAGAACCGTCTCTTCATCATACAGCTTGCCAGGTGACTTCTGGTGTCTTACAAAGACGTTATAGCACCTAGGTGAGCTATAATGTTTGCTCTTCTGTCTGTTGAGAAGCCTAAGTAGCTAATGGAAAAAGTTGCCCAGCCCTCTAAGATGGTATTCCTCTACAAAGGAGAGTGAACCTTGCCTGCTGTCAGGGAGTGGAAGTGTTTCTTCTCGTACACTGGAAGGTCAAAGGCTGAAAGCAAAGGTACTGCTTCTGTGATTGAAGAGGTGATTGCTTTTACGAGGAAGTAAACAGATGTATTTCCTTCTTGTCTGATTTAATACTTTGCAGCCATTCCTCTTTTTATTGCATTCAGAATTGTTTAATGGCTCATTTCAGATAATTAGTTTTAAATGGGAAATGGGAAGAGTTAATTAGATTGACTAAAGTTTTCACATTGGCACTTTGAATTAAGGCAAATGAACGTGGCTTTTGGACTAATGTAATCTTCTAATCACTTATGATAACATCAGTTATGAATGTAAAAGCTGAAGGTTTCAATTTCATCTTTTTTTCAGGCAGGTAATTCAGTCAATGAATAACTCACATTGTTATAACTGTACTTAGAGGGGAAACATATGGTTTTCCTGCCTGAAGACTGTACAAGTATTATATTGTATTTTTAAAACCAAAACAAATTGAGAATTTGACTGAATGTCAACAAGTGATTATAATCTTAATTGAAACTGGTCTGCAGTACTTGCATTTAATGGTGGAGTTCGTAATGTGGTCTAAAAAATTAGATGGTAATGAAGGTATTAAATGTAATGAGTACCTTTGTGGATTTCTACTTCCTTTCTGGAACTGGGTTCCTGGGGAGAAATGCTCTTGTAATTGGTGATATTTTATGGTCTCATATGTAACCAGGTGGAGACATTTTTGGTGTGATTTTAGAAAAGTTATTTCTCTCATCTTGCTTGCCTGTCCCAAATCCATGCATGCAGTTTCAAACTCTTATTACCTCATTTAAAAGGCAGTGGTGTGGACTCAGGCTCATAACTGAGGGCTGTACAGTACTTTCTCACCACAGCTTTCCAAAGAACTTTGCTGCTCCGTTTCTTTACCCAACACTGCAGTGCTGAGAGAGCAGAATATGGCTGCTTTTAATTTCTTGAAGCCTGGGTGTAAGGGGGAAATCTTTGTTGGGTGCTACACAGCTGCCCTCCTGAAATGTTGTTTTCCCCCTTCGGTCGCTGAAAGTCACTAAACTGAAGTTTCACAGCCCTTTGAAAGAAAGACTGGGGCAGGTGCTGCTCGTGGCAGAGACAGCAGGGATGTAGAGTGTGGTGGCAGGCTCTTGCTGAGGTGCAACTGTTACAGTGCAACTTTTTGCAGTGGCAAAGAACATCCAGGCATTTCTCTGGACAAGTATCTGCTTCCTTTACCTGTTGTTTTGGGTGAAAAGCAGTTAAGAGACAAGAACTGTGTTATATAAAGATAAAAGCAACAGCTACAGCCAGAAAAGGCAGCATTCACACTTCTAAGACAGTGAGAATAAATGCATGTTAGAATAAGGGAAGTAAGTATGATCTGTGAAGAGAAATAACGTCAGACTGCTTAACACGGACTGTGTTGAGGAGGTTGTATCAGATGCTGTCTGTTTAAAAAAGAACAAACTATACAGGCAGGTTTGACCTTCAAGGTTCTCTAGTAGTAATTTAGCCTTTTTCTTCAAGATACAATGTAAGGCTTGTGTGCCCCCAATAAGGGTTGTAAAAGCTTGATTAACTTAGACTTACAGAAGCCTAGCCTGTTTTCCACAGATCTGCTTTGTCAGAATAAATGACAGTAGGCTTTGGATCTAGTAAACTTCCATAGTTTCTTCAATGTGGGCAGTGAAAGTGCGGTGAGTGGCATGATCTGCTCTGGCAGTCTGCTTCCTTCATCCTGGAGTTCTTGAGGCTCTTTGTGGACATAAAACTTCAAGTGACAGGGTACCTGCATCTCTGTTGTATGGCAGTAGTAGTGGTTTCTTCTGACGTAGGACTAGGCTTCTTTATAAAGCAATGGTCCTTCCCTGCTGAAGTGCTACACTTCTAGATGACCTTTCAAAGATTTTGGTTCCTACTTAATTTTCTGCTTGTTATTCATGTGCATGTGTGGGCTGAGATGTTACTACTCTGATACTGTGTTTTCATTATTTTTTTTTTTTTTTGTTCATTGTGTGGGTTTGGTTTTCTTCTGTTTGTTGATAACTGATGTGTTCTTGTTAATTCTGACAAATACAAACCTCTCTTGACTGCAGGAATTGGGAGTTCTAAGAAAAATACACTTTAACTTTTACATGATAAAGCTGACTTGGCGAAAATGGGTGTGTAGAGGAATGGCATGCCAGAGGAGGATGAGTTATGGCAGATCAACTATGGAAGATAAGCTGCCTAACTATACTGCTAATGTTTATTACCATAACTGTATTTGATATGAGTGCTGTGGAGAGGCCGCTTACGGATGCATACTACCAAAAATTGGGATAGTTCTTTTCTAACATCTTGTGAAGTCATATGTCTGTAGAAGAGCACTTGAAAATGGAGGAGGAATGTCTGGACCAGAAACTTCCTTGAAAGAGCAACTTCTTTTAATTTTTCTCTTTGCTGACCTCATTGATGTTGTAGGTTATTCAGAAAGTGATAAATGTAAGATGAGACTTCCACTGCATTGGGAAATGATTGAGTTAGAGACAGAAGACAATCAGTACACACTGTGCTGTAATGAGACAGCCAAACTTTTCTAAGTATTTTGTGTTCTGGAGGTAGAAAAGTCTTTGTATTCAAAGTTGTCCATGGCATTGTAAGCCTATAGAATAAGTTAAGTGGAGATGAAAAATAACTGCAGCCAGCAGTACTTTGGGGCTCATATTGACAATAAAAATAAGAATGATATTTAAAAAAATGAAGTGAACTATTCTTGTTGCAGTTTGCCTTTGGTGGTAACTTCTTAGCCTCTGTAACTCTACTGTATGTCTGAAACGTGTTAGGCTGTCATAAAATGTCAGCAGCGTGTGCAGGCCTAGCTGGCCTCTAGTTACAAGGTGATACAGTCAGTCTTAACACTTCAGTTGAATTTTAAAAAAAGATGAATAATGAAACTCTCCTATTACAGAAGAATAAGAATTGGAAAGAAGAGGTGGTTAAACACAACTCCTCTGTCAATCCCAGGGTGGCATTTGCTGTGGCCAGGAAATGGTTATGCATAGGAGTGACAGACATTTACTAGCAATGGACCAAATGCATCCTACAGGCTTTTTGTTTGTTTGTTTATTTGTTTTTATTTTACTTTCTTACTCTCTTTCTTGTCTGATAGAACATCCATTATACTATGGAGAACTCCTTGTTCCAGATCTTGAGATCTGGATCTATAATCTTCCTGCTTTTAGAGTAAGGGTGGCCGCAGTCTGCTTTGCTCTGTGCAGTGTGTCTGCCTAGCTCT